CATTATTAAACCATCTATCCAGCCCTGCCCAGAGGGATGCTGGGAGTGGGGGGCAGACTCCATCCTACCGCCTGGGTCCGGAACTGGGGCAGCCAGAGGCCCCTGGGAGTTGGAGGTCACCAGCCTCATGGCCGGGCTTGTCACCACTGACCTGCTGCCAGCTCCGAGGCTCTGGCTGCTGCAGGGACAGGAAAGGCGCTGACTGGCTGGTTTCCTCATGTTCTTTCCCTGCACAAAAACTTCTAGGCTCTGACTCCACAGGGTAAAGCGCCAGCTCCTTACGCGGACGGGCATCTGGAGTATTCCGCAACCTGGCCACACTCTACCTAGAATCATATGGTTCACTATTTCTTTCTGGCTCGATGCCAAGTGCTCCACATGAAGCAAAGTCTCAGGAAATAATGACAACAACCCTGCAGGGCACTTGCTGTGAGGGCTCCCTCGCACGAGGACGCCCAGAGACGCTAAGTGATTCCACCAAGATCGCACAGTGAGGAAGAGGCGATGACTCACCCAGGTTTTCCTGCTGCTGGAGCCGAGCTGTGGCCACGGGACTCTCAGGGTCCTTTAGCCCAGCAGTCCCGCTCTCAGCTCCTCCGTGGCATGTCACCCCAAGCGCCTTGCCCTTCTAACGTTCTCACAGTCTAGAATCTGGGTGTGTGAAGGTCCCTGTGTCTGGGTGAGTAGCTGTGTTCCCAAGGCTCCCTGGGGAAGAGAGAGTTTTTGTGGCTGTCACCAAGTTATTCAGGCCCAAAACCCAGATGCCACCTGGATGTCATCTGAATGCCACCTGGGCTCCCGCAAATCTAATCCATCAACAACTGCTGTCAGCTCAGCCTCCCAAATGCACCCTAAATCCAGCCCCTCCTCCCTCCCTCGTGCCACAAAGGCAAGGGCAGGTCTGTCCTGTTCACCTGTGCTTGCCCAGGGCCTGGCATGCAGTTGGCACGCCAAAACTATTTGTTCAATAAGAGGATCAAGCGCATGCCCCGGTGAACAAATGACGGAAGGAAGGGAGACCGATGTGAGGGAGGAAGTGGGTGGGAAGACAGGCAGGAGAACTTTGCTCTGCCCTGGCGTCTGGGGACACTGGGCTAAAGGAAACCTTCACACAAGAAGGGATGGTCAGGCCACCTGCCCAGCAGGTGGGGTGTGGCAGGCACAGGGGCAGCGTGCAGCAGGGGCAGTGAGAGAGGCCCAGGGATCTGGGGTGAGCGTTGGAGAGCGCCACCTCTCCATTTTACAGGGGGGCAGCTGGGACCCAGGAAGGCCACCAGAACCCTGCCCTGCCCTCCTCAGGCTAGGGAAGGTCCTCCCCCGCCCACATCCAGGTGCCCCTTCACCTCTCCCCTGGGCAAAGTGGCTGCGTGTCCTCCCTCCACCACCTGGATTGCCCTGGTGGCATCGCTCCCTTCCTGGTCATGGCACAGACCCGGCACAAAAGAGCAACTTCCACCCCTTCTCACTCAAATCCTTCTTGTTGCTCTGACTATGGTTTCTCCAAATCTCCCCATTTCCTCCCATTTCCTGCTTCCTGCCCACCCACACACTGTGGGGGCCGTGGGACTCCAGCCCCCACAGCCCATCACATCCCATTCTCAGAGCAAGTGCTAGACAGCCCTGGCATCCCAGCACCAGCTGCACCTGGATTTTGCTGGGGCTCGCCAGGCCAGGGTTAGGGATTTCCTCTCTTCTGAGGAGGGACTTTTCTGCCATAGGCTGAGCTCCCAGAGCGGAGCCCAATCACAGGCAAGAGCTCAGCTCCCACGCCACGAGCAGGAGGCCAGAGCAGGGCCTGGAGGGGGAGGGTGTGGGCCAGGTGGGCTCATCTGAAGCAGGACCCCCCACACCAGGGGCTGAGAGGGGCCACAGCCAAGCAGGCTGGAGTTCAGAGCAGTCCCAGACTCCTTGGAGAGGATAACAATATCCTTCACCATTTACAGGGTGGCTGCCATGTGCCAGGTTTCATACATAAGCTGCAAGTCCTCACAACAACCTGAAAGAGCATCATCAGTTGGGACTCGTTGCTTGTAAGTGACAGAAACCCAACTCGAGCCCAGTTTGAACTGGCTTAAACTCAAAAAAGGATGCACTGACTCGCATAACGGGGCAGGTGCCTTGAGGAAGACTGTGAAGGAGGAGGAGGAGGCCTTCTTGGATGCCATGGGCATTCTCTCTTTGGGCCTTAGTTCTCTCGGGCCCACTGTCCCCACCACAGTGGAACCAAGGGCACCCACAGGCTCAGGCTTACACAGCCGGACAGAGTCGTGGAGAAAGCGAAGAGCTTTCCTTCCACTTCCGAGATGAATAATTCCAGGGAAGAAATCTGATTGGCCCAGCATAGGTCACATGCTCACCCTCTGGACCAATCACTGCGACCAGGATGACCCAACCTGGGTCAGGTGCCCCCACCTTTGTAGCCAGGGTAGGGCGTGTCGGTGGGGAATGGGGGAGGGACACCAGGCATACAAAAGCAATAGTAGCTGTGCAGGGCCTTTTTTTTTTTTTAAAATAAATGTTTTATTTTGGAATAATTTTAGATTTACAGAAAGAATGCAAAGATAGCACAGGGAGTTCCCGTATACCCTTCACCCACCTTCTCTTGGTGCTAACATCTTATATAACCACAGTACATTTGTCAAAATTAGGAAATTAGCTCTGGTACATTACTATGAACTAAACTCCAGACTTCATTCAGATTCACCCATGTTCCCACGAATGTCCTTTTTCTGTTCCAGGATCCCACTCAAGACACCACATTGCATTTAGCCATCATATGTCCTTAGCTTCCTCTGGCCTGTGACAGTTTATCATACTATCCTTGCTTTTCACAACCTTGACAGTTTTGAAGGGTACTGGTCGGGTATTTTTTAGACTGTCCCCCAATCTGGGTTTGTCTGATGTTTTCTTGTCATTAGCAGGGTCATGGGTGGGGAGAGCAGCACAGAGGCGTACTGCATTGTCATCACTGCATGTCAGGGGAGTGTGACAGCCTGATCACGGGTAGTGTTGACCTGGTCGCTTGGTTAAGGTGGGCTCTCCCCCCCTAACAGATAGGGAATCTGAGGCTTGGAGAGGTTAAGCTGCTTGCATCAGAGTGGGTGGAGGGGCAGGGTGTGAACCAGGCCTGTCTGGCTCCCATTATCCTACAGGTTGTGGGAGTTTCAGGCAGGGAACCTGGGCAGAAGCCCAGCTCTAGGAATGGGAATGGAAAAAGGCTAGACCATGAGTCTGTATTCAGTATGCAGCAAGAGGACTGAGCTCCAGACGTTTTTATGGGGGCAAGGGCCTGTCAGGATGGGCCTTGACTCTAGCCAAGAGAGGTGGGGAAAGGAGACAGGGGCTCGCACAAGGACCATGGGAAAGAAGGAAGCAGTGAGTGGCGAGCATACCTGGGCCTGAGCAATCTGGGAAGGCTCCCTGGAGGAGAAGTCCACAACTGTAGAACAGCCAGGAGAGCAGCTTAGAAGCGAGGTCCATCCCAGGAGACGAGAGAGTGAAGTATTTAAGACCACAGGCCTAGGAGTCTGACAAGCCTGGGTTCAAATTCTTCTGCTACCACTTTCTGACGGGGTAGTCTTGAGCAAGTCACTGCTTCCCAAACTGATGTGGGGCTTTCTAGCCCCTGGTCCTGCCCGCCCTGCTCACCCACCTGAAATGCTCGTTCTAGAGCCAACCCCCAAGCTCCCCAGCCTAGACTAGCTACAGACTTTGTGGGGCTCAGTAAAAAATAAAAAGGTGAGACCCCTCATTCAAAAATTATTAAGAATTTCAAGACAGCAATAGCAGAGCATTAAACCAAGTGTGGGATCCTGCCAGGTGAGAAACCCTGGACTACTGCACAGTTCACAAACCCTTGAAGCCACCCCTGTCCCGCTGTGACCACCTGACCCCTGTGATCTGATGACCACATTTTCTGCACAATTCCTCGGTCGTTAATCACAAGCTGCCCGCTGATGCTCTCGGGCCACTTATCGACTGGCCGCCTGACTCTCTCGTGGCTCTTCCTTGTGTTGCCCTGGGTAGAAGCTTGAATGAGAAGAACCCCGAGGTGCATCCAACAGTTAAATTTGATGTCCTGTAATTTTATGGCTTTAATATGTTTCACCAGGAAGCTTCTGAGCTTCCATGGCCTAAAATGCTAAAAGTCAAGGGGTCAGAGCTTCCTCCCCCACCCCTATGTGGTCTCCAAACCCGGGTGATCCCTGGGCAGTCTGCAGGTTTCAGATGAAAGAAGAAAGGCTATTCTTTCACTGACATTTTGCAAATTTGAAATGTGAAATCAGCTGTGAGTTTTGGAGGAATTGCTCAGTTCTTAAAGGCAGTGGGTGTGTGTTACAAAGTCCATCCATCCAAAATGGGTCCGAAGAGGTTAACCTTCCCTCAACAGGGTGCTGCGAACCTGCCTGGCTCATTTTTACATTCTGTATGTTACTACTTGTTTGTTAACTTTGCTTTTCATCCCTTTACTACTGTCAAGAGGAGGCATACTAGAATCAACCTGCCTGTACTCACCTCTTATCTCTGCCATGAGAACGTGTGCAAGTTGCTTTAATCTCTGTGGGCCTCGATTTCTTTATCTGAGAAATGGAGATTAAATGAGTTCTTTCTCTGTCTGCTGGTTATTATTGCTAATTAAAAATTCTAGGCTGGGCGCGGTGGCTCACGCCTGCAATCCTAGCACTCTGGGAGGCCGAGGTGGGTGGATTGCTCAAGGTCAGGAGTTCGAAACCAGCCTGAACAAGAGCGAGACCCCATCTCTACTATAAATAGAAAGAAATTAATTGGCCAACTAAGATATATATAGAAAAAATTAGCCGGACATGGTGGCACATGCCTGTAGTCCCAGCTACTTGGGAGGCTGAGGCAGGAGGATGGCTTGAGGCCAGGAGTTTGAGGTTGCTGTGAGCTAGGCTGACGCCACGGCACTCACTCTAGCCTGGGAAACAAAGTGAGACTCTGTCTCAAAAAAAAAAAGAAAGAAAGAAAAATTCTAGTGGTACCAAAAAAAGAGCCTAGCCATTTTATTTTGGTCACAGTTTGTGGGTTGGGAATTCTGGAAGGGCTCAGCTAGGTGGTTCTTGCTTGGGTTCCCATACAGTTGCAGTCCGATGTCTGCTGGGGCTGCCATCACCGATGCCGAGCTAGGCAGGCTGGACATCCGAGACGGCTCCCCCACATGCTGGCACGTGATGCCTGCCACCGGTTGGCAGCTCTGCTAGCAGCTCTCTCCAGCCCGGCAGAATCAGAGAAGCTGGGCTTTTGACATGGTGGCTGCTTCCCCCAGAATAAGAGAGAACCAAGAAGAAACTAAGTGGCCTTGGAAATCACAAAATATCGCTTCCACTGATTTCCCATGGGTTTTAAGCGGGTCACTAGTCCAGGCCACATTTAAGGGGAAGGGACATAGACTCCAACTCCAAACAGGAGGAGTATCGAAAACTGTGGGCATGTTTTAAAACCACCACAACATATATAAAGCACTTAGAATAGTGCCTGGCACAAAGTAAGCCCTCACTATGTGTCTGCTGTTATGTTATAGCCCCAAATAACAAAAATTGATTGATAATGCACAATGGTTTGCCAAAACATCAAAGTGGGGATGAAAATATGAACAAAAATTCTATAATGCAGAATATAGCACAATCATAAATAGCGAGTAGGATTTTATATGCCTGTGGAATGTGCTGGTTCGGAAATGTATGATTTCGCACAAGTGAAGAATAAAAGTAAAAATAGAAAGTACAACCCTAAATACCTGAAAGAGGAGTTGCACCCTACCTATAACCAGTGTGGGGTCTCTTATGTCAGGTGTCCAGTGGTGGCTGGAAGCCTTTGAAATGTTTCCATCTTTTCCCCCACAAAACAAGGCATCACTCTGGGGAACCATTGGCATTTTTCTAGAACAAGCACAAAATAAAGCTCTCCAGCACTAAATTGATGACTTCCATCATTAAAGGCAGAGAAGAGACCAAAAGTACAGAAGTGTTATTCAAAGTGACCTGCCACGTAGAGAAGCCAGGCACAAGCCATTCTATTGCCAGGACACTTCTAAAGCAGCCAGCCATGCAGTGAGTAACAAGTCAGAGTGAACAAGTTAAACTATATCAGCAAAATTATTTTTTCTTTTATCGGACAACAGTACTAGGGGAGGGGGGACATGAAATTAACAGCCAACAGTACGAAAAGCCGGCAGTTATCGCGCGTGCCGGTAGATATTTGGCTTGAAGATGCACAAAACCGCTGGTGAGCAGGGCCCGTCAGATTCGGCATATGTGGCAGGCAGGCCCCCTTCTTGCTCTCATCAGAGGCCTGGCTGCTTTGCCCTGCCCTAAGCCCACCTTGAGAACCCTTTTCCGGATTTCCCGGCCTCCCCAGCTGCTGGGGTGGCCACGTGACCTAATCTGACCAATGACGTCTAGGCAGAAAGCAGCTGGCGGGTTTCTAAGTTTTTTTCTTTTCTTTTGAAAGAAGTCGACACAACCACCGTTCTTCCACCGTCTTCCTGCGGGAAAGCGGGTGTGATGCTGCGGCGCCATCCTGTCCGGTGAGGGAAGCAGCAGCCGCGCACGTCCTCTGTCCCCAACCCTCCCGCCTGTCCTCCCCACCTTCACCCAAGCCGCCGATGACCTGTTTCCGCTTCCGCCCAGGGAGCAGAGGCGATGAGAAGAGGCTCCGCCGCCACATGCCCCGTTGCGAGGCAAATCCTTCAGTCCCGGCCCCTTGCGGAGACCAACTCCACCGCGGCTGCGACCCCATCCCCTCACTTCCTCAAGGCGGCTCCCACACCCGCCCCCTTTCTCCTTCATTCTCATTTTTCCGTCTCCGGCAGCGTTGCCGTCGCCACGCACGCAGGCACGGCGGCTATTGCTCCATCTTAACATACCTGTCTTGACTGCGCACCCCCATTTCTCTCCTTCGGTGACAGAAAGAAAATATACCCAAAGAGCTATCTCTTTTTTTCACTCCGATTCCTACGCATCAGGCCTCTCCAGTCAGGCGTTGCCCTCCCACGCCACTGTGGTGACCCGTCAAGCTTTCCAGTGACCTCGCTGGCCAGACGTTCACCCTGCCTCCGACTCACCTGTCAGCTGCAATTGACTCAGCTGACCCTCCTCCTCTCCTGTCTTCCCAGACACCAGGCCCTCCTCCCGCTTCAGTGTAAACTCAGGGAGAAGCAGGACCCTTGTCATCGTGTCCCCTGGCTCTATCCTCACCTCCCAAAACAGTGCTTGGTCACAGTGAGGGCTCAGCCCTGTTCACTGAATCAATGAAAAGACTGCTAGCTGTCCCCTTAATATTCACTCTCCCCTTCTACAGTCATATTTTTAGCCAGGCATATGGCTGCCTAGACAAAGACTACATTTCCCAGCTTACTGTGCAGATAGGTGTGGCCATAGGACTGGATTCTAGCCAATGAAGTGAGGGCAGAAATGAGCTGTGCAGTTTCCTGTTCATGCCCTCAAAAGGAAAGGTGTATACCTCTCTTTGTTTTTCTGCCCTTTCCAACAGCTGAAATGCAGATGCAATGGCAGGAGCTGGAGCAGCCACCTCAAACCAGACGGTGAAGCCACCTGCAAGTTGAGAAAGGCTGGTAATAAAATAAAAGCAACACCTGTCAGCATTGATTACATTACGCTCAGATTGTTACATGACAGAGAAGTAAACATCTATCTTATTTATATCACAGTATTTTAGCCTCTGTTACGCCAGACAGACCTGGACTCTCAGGAACGCACTTTTACGTATTAAAGCAATTGTAGTTGGGTTTCCCACCTTTGCAACCTGCTCCATACACACGTGTCGGAAATGTGCTCTGCAATTTATTTGGGTCTTGTCCATCCGTCAACACTGATGCTGCAAGGGAGGACATTTTGGGGGTAAGTGGATGATTACTTTATGAGCCACTAGGTAGACTGGAAAAGCACACCGGGAACTGGACCAACGGCGGGCCTGCCATGTGGGCCGCCAGGAAGGGCAGCGCTACGTGGCGGAGGCGCCTGCTCCAGAATGCCAGCTCTCCGCGCTGGTTCGCAGCGAGCAGCTGCGGGCAACAATGTGCCTCCGGATCTTCATTCAGCGCCGAGAGAAAATGAGAAAATGACAATTAAACCAAGGCCACCAAGTGGACGTCTTTTTAGCCAGCTGTCAGAAGAGATGGGCAGAACAAAACTCTGCTTTTCCAACCCGAGCGGCGCGCACCGTTGAATGAAGGTATGCACCAACTTCTCTGAAATCAGGGACAGGATGAAAAGTCTTTCCCTATGACATGATAATGCCATCAAATACCATTGCCTTGGATTTTAAGAAACATGACTTGACAATGTGGACAGGACCTTGAATCATCTGATTCTGCCATCTCGGAGCTGAAATACAATTTTTATATTTGATGAAAAGATACCAGGATTTTATAAAACCAAACTGTGGAGCAAACTTCTTAATCCCTGAGAGCCTGCCTGCGTCCCAGCACTTGATGTTTTTCTACACTGCTCAGGGGGAGAAACCGATGACACAGCAATGAGCATATTAAAAACCAGATCCAAGCGCTGCTGCCAAACAAGAAGGAGTCCTCTGCAGTGTGAAATGCAACCAAAGTAGTGTCCCGGCTGCTGGTCCCAATGACGTTCCGGCTCTCAAGTGTGCTATGAATGACATCGCTTCTTCTGACAGGCACTGGAATGAGGCTTCCGTGAGAAATAGTTTCTTGCTCACCTCTGGGACCATGTCGGACCCAAAGCCCAGAACAGCCCAGTTGCCAGCAGGCCCTCGCGGACACCATCTCTGACCACCTGCAGCCTCGTGATGGGCTCGGGGAGATGCACAGTACAACGAAAGCAGCTGCCTGGAGGAGAAACACGACCAGACTAGCTGGGCCCTGAACCAGACGGGACGGGCCATTCGTCCACTCAGCAAATAATGATTGAGGCCCTGCCACGTGCTGTGAACACAGGGCCCAGAGGCACAATGGAGACCAAAGGAAAAGAAGGATTGCAAACAGAACCGTCACTCTCAGTGACACAGCCTTTTTTGAAAATTGTGATAAAATATACACAATATAAAATGTACTACTTTAATCATTTTTAGGTATACAATTCAGTGGCATTAAGTACATTCATGTTGTTGTGCAACCATCACCACCGTCCATCATCAGAACTTTTTCATCATCCCCCATAAAATCCGTGCACCCTCTAAACACTAACTCAGTTCCCCTCCCTGTGACCCTTGGTAGCCTCTATTCTGCTCTGTGTCTCAATGAATTCGACTATTCCAGGTACCTCGTATAGGTGGGATCATACAATGTTTGTCCTTTAATGTCTGGTTTCTTTCATTAGCGTGATGTTTTGGAGGTCCAGCCACGTTATAGCATGCTTCAGAATTTCACTCTTCTTTAAGGCTGAGTAATATTCCACGGCATATGTAGACCACATTTCGTTTCTCCGTTCCCCTGTGGATGGACACTTGAGTTGTCCCCACCTCTTGGCTATTGTGAATAACGCTGCTATAGACGTGAGTGTTCAAGTCCCGGTCCTCATTGCCTTCGGGTATGTACCCGGGAGCGGAATTGCTGGATCTTCTGGTAATTTCATGATTAACGTTTTAAGGAACTGCTAAACTGTGTTCCTACCACAGCTTGTGCCATCTTACATTCTGTTATTAATTTTAAACATTGTATTTGATTTAGATTTTTTGATTATGACAAATCTTTTCTTAACTTCCCCAAGATTTAGTTCACATGCCCTGTGCCATCAGGTATCCAAAACCCCACGAGTTCAATGCTGCTGCTCTGGGGTTTCTCAGTTCTAAGGCTCTCTGATTGAGGACTGAGACCCTAAGGTTGTTCTAGAACTCAGATTCGTGGTGCTCCATTGTAAGGAGTCCCGGGCACAGGGTCTGTGAGTGCACTTGCAGACCACAGTGGTGGCCGTGGGTCAGTTGGCTATGTCTTCTCCAAACTGCTCCAGACGAGGGCCGTGGGAGGCTGGCCAGGCAGCTGTGGAGGGGCAGGAATCCCTGCACCAGCAGCGGAGCTGAAACTGTGGGAATGGAGACGAAGAAGTGGAGATAGGAACAGAGGGAGGAGAGACATCACGAGTCCCAGGTCCCCCCACACCCACCCCAAATGGCTGGGGCAGGTGCAGTATTTAGGAAGGGCCGAGAGAAGAGAAACTCATTCATTCATTCAACAAACATCCACTGAGCACCAGCCCTGGCTGGGAGCTGGGCCTACACAGACAGAAAGTCCCAGCCCTCCTCTGTGCCCACCCCCGTGTCCCTACTTTCCCCGCCTGCGGAAGGTCTCCCTGAAAGACCCACTGCCACACAATAGCAGCCACCACTAGTGAGGGGCCGCCCCCCGCTGGCCTCATCTAAACACTGTACACGGACCATCACCAAGTCCTCACACCCACCCATACCACACAGCGAGCTGACCGCAGCTCAGAGAGGCTGAGTGGCTTCCCCAGGATCACACAGCCGGAGGTGGAGGAACCCACCCTCGTCACCCCAAACTCCATGCTCCACCCTCTCCATGCAGGAGCTTGTTCTGAGGACACTGAAGGTGAGACCCGTGAGGGCGGTGTGGGGCATCACACACCCCACAGGCTCCTCAGATTTAGGAAGTCCTCTCGGAGGCCGCGCCAGCCCGGATTGCTCCCTCCGGCCCTCCCCACCGAGTCCCTGGGTCCTCCTTCCTTCTGCCCGGACTCCGGCAGCACCGCCCCACCCCTGCAGTGACACATTTCTGCTCCTCCGGCACAGCAGCCGGGGGCACGCCCAGCCCCCGCGGCAGCTCCGACAGCAGCCCCCGCCTCGCACGGCGGTCAGGGCTGCTGAGAGCAAATATTTTTCCCCTTTGTCACATGGAGTAATAGACTCTTGAAAAATCACATTCTCAGAGGATCACAGCTGCATCTTATAATCTGAGACTCTCCATCAAAGAACCTTAGAACCACCGGCTAATAGAATCTCGGAGTTGGTGACTGAGAATCGCAGCACGCTGCAATCTCTCTATCACGGACTGGGCGGCGGCTGGTGTCGCAGGGCAGGGCAGGCCGTGAGACTGAGGGATGGGGAGGTGAGGAAGCCGTGGGGTCCAGAGGACGGGGGGGGTGGGGGGTGGTGGCGGGAGGCTCAGCCTGTTGTCATCTAGGAGAAGCAGTTGGCGGGTGAGGCCTGGCTCTGTTACTGATGGTTTTTAATTATGTAAATCAGCCCAGGGCCTGCGCCTGGCACAGGCTTGGCATCCATCAGCTGGCAGCAGAATTAATCAATAAATAACCAGCTGCATGGGGCCTGGGCATGAGCACCGGCCACACCCCCACCGCTGCTCCAGCGGGGTCCTCCCAGGCTGGCGGGGTGGAAGGATTACAGCTCAGGCTGTCGGCGCAGTGGCGCACACACATGCACACGCGTGCACACATGCGGCAGCAGCTTTGGACTCATGGCGCATACGCACGGGTGGACACACCGGCACACACAAAGGGGCGTGGCTCACACTGCCCACGCGCAGACCCTCCGCTGAGCAGCCCCGCCGTGCACCCTAGCACACGTCTCCCCACGCAGAGCCCAGCAGTGGGAGGCTGGGCCTCATTCCAGCCTCACGCCTCACACCCACAGCCACACCTACAGCTCTCTGGGAGGCTGGCTGGGCTCAGCCGAGGCCCTCATTTTACAGATGGGGAAACTGAGACCCAGAAAAGGGACTTGCCCAAGGTTATGTCCAGGGGTGCTTCCCACCCACCTGCACCCAAAAGTGCAAGACACTGCAGGCCCCAGAGGACTGGGGAAGAAAAGTAGGGGGAGGGGTGTTGGGGGCCCCAAAGGCAAGGCCCCCTCCCTGAGAGGAGGCGGTTGGCAACCTCGCAGAGAGCAGGGCAGAGTGGGTGGCCCAGTGGGGGACCAGGTGGGGCTGAGGGTCAGACAGTGTTGCTGGGCAACGAGGCCCTCCCCGCTCCCAGGGAGCCATGATGGATTCTCCTCCCCGCCGGCCGCTCCCAGCGATGCCCCATAAATCAGCCCCCACATCTCGGCCTTGGCTGTGCCTTGATCACTCTCTAGTGTGGGGAAACAATCATAAAATTGATGGGAAGGTTTTCTCTTCCCCTTTCCCCTCTCTCTGCCTCCAGCTTTCTTCGGCCTCCACCCCTCTCTGGCTGGGGATCATTAAATACCGAATGAGGAAACGAACCGAGACGGGTGAGATGCCGGTCTCGTCTCCCGCTTCCCTCAGCTCAGCCGGGGGTTCCCCAGCCCCCGGGAGGCAGGGAGGGGAAGCGGGAAGGTGTCCTGGCTGTTCCGAGTGGATCTCACCGGGCCCTGCCCCTGCAGGGAGGCCAGGAAACGGCCTTGGGAGCCGGGGACCCCCAGGGCATCAATCAGCCCTTTGGAGCCACCCGCCCCTGGGAGCATCGGAGGAAGGTGTGGGCTCCTGACAGGCCAGCCAGCACTGGGAGCTGGAAGCCACACAGAGCAGCCGACAGGGGCAGCTCCACGGCCCAAGTCAGGCTCTGCCACTGGGTAGCTGCGTGACCCCGGGCAAGCTTCTTCACCGCTCTGTGCCTTGGTCTCCTCATGTGCAAAGCGGGGTAAATAGGAGGACCCGCATCACAGGTGTGTAGATACATATTCTTTGGAATAGCCACTGGTGATTATAGAGTTAAATGCTCTAAACATTATCAATTGTTACCATTATTAAAGGCACTGGTTCTCAGAACTTAGTGTGCATCAGAATCCCCTGGAAGGCTTTGCTGCCCCGTGCCCACCTCACAGAGTTTCTGCCTCAGTAGGCCGGGGGCGGAGTGGGGGCGGCCCAAGGTTGCATGTCTAACAAGTCAGCAGCTGCTGCTGGGACTGCTGGTCCAGGGGCCACACTCTGAGAGCCCGCTACAGCCCAGGTTGGCGCGCGGACCCAGCTCTGCGCCCCGCCCACTCTGTCCTTGGGAGCTGAGGCCCAAGGCGGTGAGCTGGCGCCCAAGGCCACACACAGTGCAGCTCTCAGCAGCAAGGTGGGGACGGGGGCCCTGGAGGTGGAGGTGGCTCCATCACCACCACCACCCCCACCCCCACCCCCCTTCCACCCCCACTGGCTCCCTCCCAGAGCAAAGAGGCAGAATTTGCCTTCGTGGCCAGAGGTAATCTTTTAATCTCTTTGGCTTTAATCTTACAGCCCAACATAAACCCAAATCCACACAGGGAAGGAAGGGGGTGGGGGGCACAGAGCTCCTGTCCTGGGCTTGGGGGTAATCTAGGCTTTAGCTGCTCTCCTCGCTGCAGTTCTCCATACCATCCCGTGGTGCTCACCTGCTGGGACTCCTCCCCCTCACCTATCTGGCTGTTGGTCTGAAAAAGTCACAACACCTAGAAAAATAGATGGGCTTCACCGTGAGGGGCACGAGACTTCACCGTATGCTGTGGCAGAGATGCAGGTGCCCTTACCATATCTTATCGCCCACTTACCTTAGCAACAGACACTTGAGTGGCCATGTGCCCAGCCAAAAGTTTCCATTTCTCCCTTGCAGCTAGGAGTGGCCAATGAGGGGCAAGTGTCAATTGTTAAGTGGGACAGAGGGGAACATTTGACCAGTCTGTGCCCACTTCTTCCTGAAAGTGAGACGTGATCATGGAGGTCTAGCAGCCGTCTTGGGTCATGAGGTGACTTTGAGGATGGAAGCCAGTTGCTAAGGTAGGTGGGACTGAAAGGAGGAGCCTGGGTCCCTGAGGACACCAGCAAGCACCCCATCACCCCTAGATGTGCTTTGTGGGAGAGAGAGAAGCCTGGGTCTGGTTTAAACCTCTATTATTTCCTGCCTCTGTTATCAGCCACGGGAAGCAAGCCCCACCCGATACGCAAAAACCCTGCAAAGTAGATATTACTGTGTAGCCCCTGCTTCTTGCACCCCCATTTTACAGATGCACCCCCAGCCTCCCTGCCTCCCTCCCCGACATCCACGACGCACAAAAGACCAGTGTTCACTCCCCAGCCCGGAAACACTGCGGATAAGCCTCAGCCCGACCTGCAGCAGCCTCACGGCCACAAACACAACAGTACTCCGTGCAGACCGCCCAGCCCACGCTGGTG